AGCCTGCTTCTCCCTCTCCCACTCCCCCTGCTTGTGTTCCCTCTCTCGCTGTCTCTCTCTGTCAAATAAATAAATAAAATCTTTAAAAAAACAAACAAACAAACAGTAGCTTCTATTGAGAAAATACCCCTACTGTTTGAAATTGTGGGCCACTAGAGTTAAATTTGAATCCTGATTTGACTCCTGGTTCTCCTACTCATTAACTATGCAACTTTAGGCAATTATTTAGCCTTGAGACTAGCACATAAGAGCTAAGTAAATGTTAGCTCCTATTTAGCTCCAATTTTTGTGATTATTTTGTTTGCTCCATATGGCTGCTTTTCTGTTTGCTTATCCTTTTCCATGGCTGGAAATGTCTACCCCAGTCCCAACCTTACATGACTTTTTAGTTCAAAATCCAACAGCAGCTAATTAGAATCCTTGCATCACTTATTTCAATATCTTGAGAGAGACCACGATGTATGTTCAAGCCATTGTGCATATTAGCTATCACTAGCCTGACTTTCTATGGCTGGGAAGGCAAAATCTTTTTGAAGGGTATGTGTGTAGGAAGGCAATGGTGAGCATTTCCAGAACTCTGAAGCCTTTTAAATTTTATATATTTGAACCTACTTACATATTCTTTCATAATCTATGCCTTTGATTTCATGCTTTAAAAAGTATCTCTTACCTTGAGATCATATGTTGACCCTCATTTTTTTACTTTACATTCCACATATACTATCTAATATAATCTGAATTTTTTTTTAAGATTTTATTTATTTATTTGTCAGAGAGAGAGAGGGAGAGAGCACAAGCAGGGAGAGTGGCAGGCAGAGAGAGAGGGAGAAGCAGGCTCCCCGCTGAGCAGGGAGCCCAACGCGGGACTCGATCCCAGGACCCTGGGATCATGACCTGAGCCGAAGGCAGACGCTTAACCGACTGAGCCACCCAGGCGTCCCTAATTTGAATTTTCTTATTAGAAGGGCACTTTTCTCCAAGTAGCCTCTTTGTCCCAACATAACCTTTTGAATAGCTCATACTATTCTCACCAATTAGAAACATGAATACTAATAACGATTGCACTTACTAAATACTTTCTATGTGCCAGAGTTTGCACTAAGTGTATTACATGGATTATATCAGCTTAGTAGTATTACTATCCACATATGACAGCTAAGAAATGGCATACTTGGGATTCACACTCAGGTCATCTAATTGTAGAACTCATACTTTTTTTTTTTTAATTTTATTTATTCATTTGACAGAGAGAGA